ATGAGCTAGACATTTAAAAAAAATATTAATTATTAAATAAAAAAGGAAATATAGCCAATACTGGTTCTTGACCAGGAGTTTCTATTATTGCCATCAGTGCAAATTACAAATCCCGAAAATCCCGGGATTACTTGGTAATAATCCCGGGATTTTCGAGGCCTTAAAAAGTCTGGGATCCCGGAAATAACATTGCTAGTACATACGTACATATATTATCAAAACGACCAAACAATAAAATATCAGCTGGTATCAATGTATTCACAAAAAGATATTGCTTGGTGCGTATTTTGGGTCGGCGACATAATTGGCCCCTCTTCTACTTCTTCTTTATTATTGGTGCTTTAAGCGCTTAAGCGATTTTGGTCAGGTTCAACGTGCCACGCCAGTCGTTTATCTGCTGTGCCAACTGACACCAATTGGAAATTCCAAGTGAACTTTTGATATGATTCCACCTCGTTGGCCTCTATGCAGCTGTGATAATCACATATTTGATCTCACCGCATGAAACCCAATCGCGCATGGTCCTGTCAATACACTCACCGCAATTGAAGGCTGAGGCTATGTGGGCCTAAGGATATCACTAGACTGCCTCCGGTACACTATCGGCCAGAAAGATCTAGCAATAGCAAAGGCCTAACGTTCGTTGAGTTGATGCGAGACCCCTCTTTCCAAGAGAAGTCCACAAGTAGTGACAAGAACTCCCAGTCTCTCTATGTATTCCTTGTGATAGGGTCTTTAATTTTCCGGCGGTATCACTGTGGCCTGGAATTTATAATTCTGACGGCGCTCTTTCATTGAGGGGCATATTTATTGCCTAAATTTTTTATATTTTTTTATCTAGGTATTCTATATTTTAATTACTCTGGCTTACAGCAAAAATGTTCTCTGAATGCCACTATCTAGTTAATATTTTTTTTTTTCTATGGATACGTTTTCGAGATATTTGCAATTTACCGTTATTCAGCTTAAAGCAAAAATTGGTTCCTTTTAATCGCGTACATCTTACGAACAAATTTAAAAATCTTAATATATACTTATATTACGGCAAATGAAAGTCAATGAAATTCTCCATAAACTGTATATACATCACTTTCCGATACAACTTAGAATTTCTGACAAATTAATTAATCATTCCAGCTTTTTTTATTTTTTATTGAAATAATGAAAAACTCAAAGTTTAATAGAAGAAAACTTTAAAAGATAACAGGTTATGTGCTAAATTTTTATATTTGTACTAAAGCTTGTTCTGTTACAAAAAAAAAAAACTTGACTGAGAAGAAAATCGATGGATAAATAAGAAATAATGAGTGGTCAAATAAAAATGCGACAGAGTTTGTGTGCATGGAAATTGAGCACGAAAGAATGTTACGCATACGCCCCGTACACCCAAGGAACACGCTTTTCTGCTCATATTTCATACAAAAAATCTTAGCGCATTTTCATTTGACCAGTCATTATTTCGTATTTATTCATCGATTTTCTTCATCAGTAACTTGATTTTTTTTGTAACAGAACAGGCTGTAGTACAAATGTAAAAATTTGCCTCAGATCCTGTTACTTCTTAAATTTTTCTTCTGTTAAAGTTTAATTTTTTTCATTTTTTCATTAAAAAACAAAAAAAAGCTGGAATAATTAATAAATTTGTCAGAAACTATAAGCCCTATCGGAAAGTGATGTATATACGGTGTATGAAGAATTTCATTGGCTTTCATTTGCCGTATTTTATATGACGATTTTTAAATTGGTTCGTAAGATATACTTGATTAAAAGGAACCAATTTTTGCTTTAAGCTGAATAACGGTAAATTGCAAATATCTCGGAAACGTATCCATAGAAACAAAATTAACCCGAATTTCGCAATCACGGAGCAATTCTACATAGAAACTGGATAGTGGCGTCTGGAGAACAAAAACCAAATTAAAATTTGTAATCCAGTGTTATTAAACACATTTTTTTCTCGCATGTTTGAGGTATGGCGTACTTCGGCATGTATCTTCGGTAGAATCGTCCACGCTTCTGCGCCATAGGTCAGGACGGGCATGATGAAAGACGTAGAATAAGGTGTGATTTGCGTTCGTCGAAAAATAATTTTCAATAACCTTTTTACTGAGTATTAAAGATTAAGTTCTTTTAAGTTAATTAAGAATAATACATATGCATAATGAATGGTAGTATTTCAAGGCCTATTTTAAATTAATATTACGATATGAGATATGAATTATTAGTGATTTATGAGATACGAGGTTTTGCCAAAGTACCGTCGATATGCATGTTTAACTTAAGCTCAGAATAGGTAGTTTTTTTATGTTTTCTGACAAATGAGGAATTTTTCGGTTAATACACTTTTGAAGAAGATGTATGATATGGCAAATTTAAAAATGACTGCGGTTTCAAGGCTAACATTTCATGCTATGAGTATTTCCTAATAAATAAAGATTTTGATTGATATGTAAATACATGTGTGTACATAACAATTTGACGAATATCGTTGATAGCATCCTTCGACGAAAACGTATACATATAAACGTCCATTTTTAAATGCACACGTATAAGAACATACATTTGCATATGTGTATATGAATGTTCTCACATCCCTGTAGGGTAACCGGGGACTAGTGCAGCAGTTCCGCACTAGATCTTTATCGCCAAAAACGAACCACTCCGATAGTAACTAGATCGCTACCATTTCTAAGTCAACGAAACGTTGTACTTTTGAAAACGATTTTATTTCACTTTTTAAAACTACATATCGCTAGCTAAGCGTGAAAAGTTGTTGCTATGAAGCAAAAAATCATTAAAAACGATCGTTTTTCAAAGTTTAAACTATCTTATTATTTCTAACCGTTTCTGTTCAGTGATACGCGAATTTGCTAAGTCCAAATAGTCACAATATTCATAAGTCCCAAAAGAATAAACAAATTTTCATTAGAAATCTATATCTAAGCTTACGAATTTAGAACAGATTCGGAACTATCAAAAAGCAATGCAGCGGGGGCTTGTTTACTTTAAATAGATATTTGGGTTTTTCGTTCAAATACGCTATCATTCAGCACTTTACAGATGCTTTTTCTGGAATCTAACCTATAACAGCAAGGCCCTCCGCAAACTCGGCTACAGTAAACGTACATTTCTTAATATTTTCCAAAGAAATTTTATTTCAAATTGAAATTTGAAAAAATTGGAAATCTCCCCCATGAGAAAGGCAAATGGACTGAAAAAATCACAATACTTTTTTCGTATGTCGATTTTGGAACTGGTTCGGACTTGGCGAAATATTTTTCAAATCCGAAATTAAAATTTTTCTGGATAATAAACAACCGCTTATCCAAATTAAACAAGTGAACAAATGAAAGAGGACTGTAAAATTGCTTTAATACTAAATATTTGAAAATATTTCAATAACAAATGTTATTCAATTACCATAAGAAAAACCTTGGGTCAGATATATGAATTTCTTTTATATTAAATTATGAAAAAAACATTTAAATAGATGTGTAAACCTTCGTTCGTTATTTCTATTTAAAACCTATTTCAGTCCTCTTTCATTTGATACCAAATTTGTTTAATTTAGATAAGCTCTTTGTTTATTATCCGGAAAGGACTTTTATTTCGGACTTAAAAACATATTTAGCCAAGTTTAATTCTTAATAAAAATTAAACACTTATTTTCGGTCCCTGTTCAACAGAGAATTAACGCGCACTAGCCATGGTTCTAAATTCTCTAGTACAGAACCAGTTCGACACTAGTGCGTTTCCCGACAGTGAATAAAACATGATTAACGGCCAAAGCGCATCGCTCAAAAATACACTCGGAGGTTATCCATTGTCTGAGTTATTTATTAATGTTCTAAATTTGAACAACGGCAACGGTATAAGAACATCCAGCTTAGGTTAGAAGTTAAAGTTACTAATGACATAAAATTTTAACGAGGGTTCAGTGCTTAATGGTTCTGCGAAAATTATGGGGATCAAAAGCGGCTAGATATGAATGTACATATATAAGTATTTGGTATATGTACATAAGTATTTGTTTTCTTCATATTTTTGCCCATCTAAACGTTGGAAATGTTTTGCTACAAACTCTTTAATGAGCTTTTACTTAAATCTTTAATGACTCAACTTAATATTTTTATACCTGATGCATTTTTGAATAGCGGACAGCAATATTAAAAACTGTACGCGATGGGCGAGTCCGAGATGTTTAAACGATCGCGAGAATCGCCATCGTTGCAAAATTACAATCGAGTCAATAATCGACTCGCTCCGCGACTGTACAATCGAGATGTTTTTCGATTGTTTCGAGTCGGCTGACTTATTACCGACGAGATCGTGTCAACTCAATCGATAGCTTTCGTAGCCTTGTGCAGGTGTGTATTAAGTAAAATATTGTTCAAATTTATACTCATTTAGAGATTGTTGGGTGTACGGGCTAAGGAAATTTTACTAAAAATAAAGTTTTTATGTGTAACTACTATTCGTAACAGTAAAACACGTCGTTTTATGTCTTCTTTATAAAATAAAAATTAAAAAGTTATCCGCTGAATCCTGTACTCCCAATGTTTACTATCACTGATCTCATTTATTTAATTACCAACCAACAAGGATATGCTTGTTTGTTTTTTCGTAGTTATTATACACTTGTGTTATTTGCAATGATTCCATTTTTTTCTTATCCATATTATACAAACATATGCGCCATATTAAAACACACCCCGTGCGTCCGCCACTGACAGACACGTAGTTTAACACCCAAAACCTGGACTAACGCCAAACAAGGCTGTATTGAGTGTTTGGTGGGATTGGAAAGGAAAGTTTATTTGTAATAAGAAAATTTTTTCAAGAATTTACCCAAAAATGTGCAAAGACTTTTCATATAACCCAATACAACTTTATTAGTATTATTTATATAACGATAAATTGTGTGTACACAAATATTTCTTATATTATTCCAATAATGTCAAACTTGCCACATAATAACTTAGTTTTGTTTTTTTTTGCAGTCATTATTTACATACATATCTCCGATGCTGCTTAGATGCCAACCATATCTCGAATTACATAACTACACACACTGATAAGCGCTGGATTTAAAGGACTCTTACAAGTAGCAGCTTAAGCATTTTAGAAAATCGAATTAATTTACTACCAGCAACAAACACAATGCGGCTGTTAATCTTCATCTTAGCCTGTTGTAAGTATTAAGAGCACTGATTAACATTTAATTAAATTCGTACTTCTACTCTTATGTGCCACATATGTATATATGTATGTACATTTGGCGTAATATTATTTTTAAAACAATTTTTATTTTTATGTAATACATAGTCAGAAAAAATTTGGTAAACATTAGTAGTAAGTTTTCGAAAATTCGCATAGAAGATTTCAATTAAAAACAACATCGCCATTCAAGAGAATAATGCTTTCGCTATTGGAATTTATGCACAAACGTGTAAATAAATTGCCGAGAAATCCGCCAAACCACACAAAAAGATGATCACCGAGTTGTACACAAAGCTCTATAGAATCGTTTCTCATCACACAATTCCATTTTGCAGAACGAAAGCGGCTCTCGTATTGACATTTAGAAAGCTCAGCTAAAAAAATCTATAATACATATACATTAGGGTGGTCCTTAAAAAATCAAAGTAACGACTTTTTCAGTCTCGCCCCTCAATCGGTCACAGATATCAATATAAATTTGTACCGATTGGAGACAGTTAGGGCGTGTCGCCCAGGGGGGGAGAGTTCAGACTCCTCTATAGAGACTCAAAAAATTTAAATTAATTTCTCTTTCTTCTGATACCCAAAATCGATACTACCATAGTCGAAGATATCACATTTAAATTCCGGTCCCGTTTGGAGTCGGTTAAGGCGTGTCGCAAAAGGGACAAAGGCCAGATATCTCTATGGAGGCTCAAAAAATTTAAAATATTTTTTTCATTTAATGCCCAAAATCGATACTACTGAAGTCGAAGATATCACATATAAAATTTGGTCCCGTTTGCAGTCCGTTAAAACGTTTTCATAGAGTAATCTGAACTTTGGCCCCTGTGGAACACGCCTTAACCGGCTCCAATCGAGGCAAAAATTTATATGTGATATCTTCGACTATAGTAGTATCGATTTTGGGTATTAAATGAAAAAAATAATTCAAATTTTTTGAGTCTCCATCGAGGTATCTGGCTTTTGTCCCTTTTGCGACACGCCTTAACCGGCGTAAGGGTTGAAGCTTTGGAAATCTGATCTAAAAATTTGATTCATACCACCCTTGCTTGACCTTGGCGTCAATTTTTTATTTTTAGTGATTATGTAAAATACAGGCCGTTCTGGTTTAAACGCCTGCGCAAAGTACCTTTCGAAATGTCAGTATTCGATTCGTTTACGAAAAAAAGGTTAGATATTGTTGACTTCTGACCTTGAATAGTTTTGTGTAGAACTTTTGGCATTTTATTTGTACATAATAGTATTCATAAGGTCTGTGCCAATTTTCAGCTCTATTTGACTTTTTGTAAATTCAAAAGCCCATTTTGACAGCATAAAGTTTATAAGAAGAAATGCATTCTGTGATTTTGTAATGTCTTCTCTCGAAAAGAGGGTAGAACATAGGAGTACGATGTAATTTAACTTAAAGAAATTCGAAGTGTTTATAAGTAGATTGAGGATTCGAGGGAAAAACGTTAAACACAGCTTAGTAAATACTCGAGCAGACCTAGGTTACTTACAACTATTGTGAAAGTTGGCTTAAAAGGCGAGTTTCCGGTCCTCGTTTGTAAAGCTCCATGAAAACTTTTCTCCAACGCAAGGTAATACTACTTCTCCTTTTAGGATCGTTTTCTCTAGTACGTGTTAAAATCCCTCTGCCCTTTAAACACAAAAACTCTACTGGGAGGGCAGATAAATCTTAAAACCGGCAACACAAACACTTGTCGGTTTGGACTGAGACTAAAAGACCTTGCCAATTACCACTCTCTTTGGCGAAGTTAGTTGATCGTTCCATTGTAATCGTTAGAACTCTTGCTTATGTTGCTTACGATTGATGCACATCGAAGGTTCTTTTCAGCGGAGCATCATCCCGCAATAAGACTTGTTGGCAAGACGTACCTTCGCTCGATATGCGGACGGGCGTTATTACGTTATTAGTGGTTTTAATAATGGATCCAAGGCATACAAGCTCCTTTACTGCTTCGAAATAATAACTGTTCCAAAACGGGAGCATTTTTTGTTTGTTGCCAGGTATATATCTTCACTTTTCAAAGTTTTACGAAAGGGTGTCGCCTTGTCTAATACCTGGTCTAGTTTCGAACGCCTTTGAACGCAGAATGTTGCGTTTAACGTCACTCTACTCGGCCGTATTAGTTTTACGCAGATATCAATTTTAGACACGACCTCGAGCGTTGGTAATTTTAGAAATGGCATTGTAGAGGCTATCAAAAACGGCATTAAAATTGACGGGTTTGCCAGCCTTGAAGCCACACTTTCGTGAAGTCTTCAGAATTTCTTACAGCATCGTCGATTGAACAGGATCTCGCTTCTTGTGGATTGGGCAAAGTACACTAAAATTTCAATATTCGGGCATGTCTGAAGTGATGGATGGAAAGGTTGAGCACAAGTCAGGAACGCTATTGATTTTGATTGTATGCCTTTCTGTAAGCTATCATAAGCCCCTAACTTTTTATCCGATTCGCTTGCGATTTTGATCCTATATATTGTGCCACTGAAATGAAAAAAACCATGACTAACTAAAATATTTATTGCAAAAGTGAATTTGGGATTTTTAGTTAGTTGCGGTTTTTTTTTTATTTCAGCTACCATGTGAGATAGGGACTTTCTACGATATTCAACAAGGTAGAAGTGACAACAAAATTTAATTCGAAATACATATCTTGGTCTATGCTTGACACTTCAGTCAAAATCGTTTCTAGCTTGTTGAATATGCCTTGTCTATGGTATCGCCCATGATAAAAACATAGCAAGGTAGAACCGTTCTCTCAATTTGTCGGCCATGATTTTTTTTTGAAGTTTGCCAACATTTTAAAATCATATCAAAGTGAAAATAAAAAATTGAAATTGTTCGAAATTGTTGTTGCTTGAGATTGAAAATGAAAATGTGTGTGTGAGTTTTTGAGTAAATTTAAAAATTAAATTGTTTGGAAACGTCAAGAATTTTAAAAGTGACTCTCAGCGGTTCTACCTTACTATATTTTTATCATGGTATCGCCGACGATATGTATGTACTTTGAATTCATTTTACACATTTTTTTTTTTTTAATTTTACAGTGGTACCCTCTATTAAGGCATATCACGTATCAGCCGCATCAGCGGGAGTTTCTTTCATCAACGAAAATGATCTAGATCGAGTGCCACAGTCAACCAACACACAGAATGCGGCATCGAAAACGTTGCGAAATCGTCGAATGTACGCTATGTGTCCGCCTCACTTTCAAAGAGTCGGTACCGAATGTTATTCGATCCTGCCACAGTCCAGCAGCTGGTTAGAGGCGCACTTTTTCTGCAAGGACAAAAATGCAAAATTGGCAGAACCACAAAAGAATGCCGATCGCAAATTGCGTAACTTCCTCAAGCACTACGATGCTGAGCGGCTATGTAAGTAAAATGAATGTCGAGTATATACAAGTAATTATTTTATATAAAAACGCTTTCTTAGTTGCAGTAAATGAACCCATTTGGATTGGCGCTACTTACGATTGGCAAAGTAATGTATGGCAGTGGAGTATTAGTGGCAAAAACTTAACCTATGACGCATTCAGTCGGATGGAACCTGAGTAATAAGACTATTTCTTTTTTCACTTTTTATATAATTAATTAAGTAAGGGCGACTTTAAAATAAAACACTACCAGAACAGACACTTGCTTGATACGGATCCCTCACCCAGGTAGCACGTCAGTAGTAGGCATCTCTAAGTATGAGCTGAACCACTATGTACAACAACGGCTGGACCTGGTACTGAAGAGACGACAGACTGTAAACGGCATTCACATGGATACTGTTTGCACCCACACAGACTCCCTTCCTGTGAATGCCATTATCAATGCTCAAACAACATCTGTGGACGAATTTGAGCCGGAACTGCCGCGAGAGAACCGCAAGACGCTGGCACAGTTAGGCCCTTCGCACACTAGGCTTACGCAAATCTTCGATACAAATGTTTTATACTTACACACGTCGCTAGTATGTTGCAGCGCACGGTCCGTACACACGTAGCGCACAGTCCGTACGTAATTATACAAACAAGGAAATTTCTTTACCAAAGAAATAAATTTAATATTCACTAATTGACCCTCCATCTCGAAAATCACGGTAGCGTTTGAAGCGGCAATCACGCAAACATTACTTTTCCTTGGCCTACCGCTAGATGACCGATCTAGGCAGAGCTAAATGAGCCGCAACAACAACAACAACAACCGTATACTACAATGCAGGGTGGTCCTTAAATTGTTTTTTTTATACACATGTTATTTTGACAGTGACAACTCTTTACCGCGGGAAATCTTGATAGAAAGTCATGATCATATCTCCGCGGAACGTAATGAATCACTTTACGCTTGAACAACGTTGTGTGGATAAGGCAAACTTATTTCCAAAGACAATGTTGTGTAGTCCTACTAGTACGTTTATTTTAAAGAAGTTTTAGGCGTAATGAGACACCAATCCCGCCTGCTGTACTCGAGTTTGTGCAAAAAGTTTGTGAGACTGGCATGCTGGAGAACTACACTCACGATTCACGCCGTTGCGCCATGCGCTCTGACGAGATGTAGCACCCGTAGTCGCGAGTGTGCAACTCAGTCCTGGAACATCGACTCTCTATCGATCTCAACAACCTGAATATTTCACACACCACCCTGATGCGAATTTTGCACAAAGACCTCGGATTGTTCGTTTACAAGGTACAATTGCCTCAGCAATTGAATGTGCACCCGACCATCCGCGTCGTTATCACTTCTAAGTTTAGGCTCTAAGAACAAGATTTAATTCACAAAAGCGCATTCTGTCTGTTAACCCAGTTTTCCACGACCTTGGTGCCGGTTTCAAGCTCAATCCTACGAATGGAAATTAGTCTTAAGGGCCAAAATCATTAACAAATTGATCACAAAACATCTGTCCTTCACAGCACCCTACTAAAAAGAAGTCTAACAGCGTCAAATCGCAGCTCCGAGGTGGCCAATTGATGTAGTCAAGATGGCTGATAATACGATTACCGAACTTAGCCCGCAAAAGATCGATTGTGGCATGGGCTGTGTGGCATGGCGCGCCATCCTGCTGAAACCAAAGAACGCCGAGTCCATGTCTTCGATTCCCAGCTACAAAAGATCTTTTACCATGCGCTCACCGTTGGCCGAAATGGAGTTTCCAGCAGCATTTTCATAGAAAGTTGGGAAAAATGATGCCACCGCCCGAAACCCGCACCAAACTGTCATTCTCTGAGGATGCATTGGGTTTTAACGACCACGTGCGGCTTTTCCGATTTCCAGATGCGGCAGTTTTACTCATTAGCATAGTGGCCGAGATGAAAATGTGCTTCGACAGAAAAGATTATTTTTCGACCAGAATCGTTGTCCATTTCGAGCTGTTCTAAAGCTGCATGTACATGAGGCGATTTTCTAATTCAAGGCGATGAAACATTGCTCAACAAAAATCGCACGTGTAAATGGCGATTCAAAAATCGTTTACCTGAAAGTAGACAGCAAGTCAACTTTTGCAGGCGATTATCGCTCTTTCGAATAAACCAATAATTTACCCAACAAAATGTGGGTGTTCAAACCTGTCTGGTTAGGTAGTTATGTGGTTATATTTTATATCCAGTTTACAACAATAAAATATACTATCAGCCCAAGTCTGAATATTCCCAGGGAGTTTGTCCTCCGGGAATTTGTTTCTCCCGAGAAAGAAATCCTCCAGTAATTACCTCCCAAGGAGTAGCATTTTCCCTGAGAATTTGGGAGGAGGAAATTCGAACTTCGAAAAAGCTCCTTGAGATTTTTTTGACAGCTCAACTCCGCCATTTAATATAAAAACTCCTCAGGGAATTTTTATTCATAATAGATGGAAAGGGAAAAAAGAGAAAACTCCCAGAGAGTTTCTGTTCAGAATCGGCCTTTTTAAATTAAAATAAGGGTATTCATAGAAACGCGTAAATGCCTCGTAGCCGCGTAAATCTCGTAAATAAAACGATTTTGAATACAAAATTAAGTAAGTTTATGAGGTTTACATGGTTACGAGACGTTTACGTGTTTTGATGAACTGCCATAATAATTTTCAATCGGGTAATCCAGGCAAGTGTGATTTTTGTTCATTTTTATGAATTTTCGATTACAGACTCTCAGACGTACACCAAAATGTAGACGATTATACGGCAGAATTTTAACATTCGTCTCAATTCATCGGCCATAATTTTTTTTTATTATTTGTCTCACTCGTGAGTCATCTGTGTTCGTGTTAACTCGCCTTTCGGCTACACTCAGTTAAGTAATTCCGTCATGCCAGAGTCATGCCGGTATAATAGGCGGCATACACCATGCGTCTGACTCGCGAGTCGGTTTGGATATGTTTGTGAAAATAAATATGTGTTGGTTACACCGACATGACTCTTGGAATGACTCTGAATGATTCAACTGTGTGTAGTCGAAGGCAAGCCAACGCGTACACAAATTACTCGCGAGTCCGTTTCTAAGTTCCAATTGCGTATATAAAAAATAAATGAAGTATTGGAAAGAATAAAATTATTCCAAATATCACCTGTAGCGATAAGAAAACGACTCATTCAGGTAATAAGCAAACGACTTGCCCAGGCGAGTTGCCTTCGGCGGACGTTTAAGAGTGGACTGGTAATAGGAATTCGATACGATGGCAGTATCAGATGCAATAAATTTGTTTCCGAGGGCGGACGTTTTCTTATTGCTGGCAACGAAAATTGTTTGCTGGGAAATTGCTTGCAAATGTCAAGAATTTTAAAAGTGTCTCTCAGCGGTTCTAATCTTACTATATTTTTATCATGAAAATTTCTGTGAAGATATTCATAGAAACTTTACCAAATACACCAGCCACCTATAAAATACGGATATTTACTCGGGTATTTACCCAGTCTGTTCTGGTAGGGCAGCTTGTTTCTGATATACTATGTACGTACTTCACATGTACATTGATCTGAAAAATTAAAGTCTATCTTAATTTGTACCTATTTGCTTACATTTCATTTAATTAATTATCAAGATATAACTAATGAGCGCATGTTTTGCAGGATCAGGCAGAATTTGGAAAACCATTGCGCTGTGTATGACCCAAATCTGGATTACAGGTAAATGAAGATATAAATGCATTATACATACATATCGCACACCGTCTTCAAAAGAGTCACAACTCAAAATAATACGTTTGTTAGAAAATGCGAATAACTATTTCTTAGTACATGATAATCATATGGGCAAGGGCTACCTTACCTTAGGTTTTTTTTTAATCAAATTATAACAATAATTTGATCCAGCTTTTGCTCAAAGGTAAATAAAAGCTCTGCGTACATTTTTAGTGCATAATCTCAAAAATGCCATATTTCGAGTTGTGTCTCTTTTGAGGACGGCGCGCGCAATGTATGTATGAATACTTAAGCAACTTTTAAAGATATTGCCAAATCAAAATATGGCCAGAAACTATAGAACTAACTCCATTCTGCAAGTTATGACACGTATTCCTTTCTGTGGAAAATTTCCCACTATGACAGCGTAATAAAATGAATTAAAAATTTCCATGTACCGTATATACGTTACTCACATACTTATGAATGCATGGATGTATCTGGACAGTATGACAAATAGTCATTTAATTGCAATGCCATAACGCAGTCCTTACCCACTCCCGAGTTAGGCGAACGTTGGCGTTTAACCCATTACTTAAAATGCGAGCGGTTAACGTGTGAAATTGCTAATCAAGTTGTCCGACTGCCCATCAACTTAAAGCGTATTGCATTCAATTGACGTGCTAATGATGTGTAGCGCCAGAGAAGAATATAAACACAATTTTATACGCAGACATACGTACATATCGTCGTTTAAAAGTACAAAACCGCGTAACTGGCATTAGCTGCCAAAAATTGGATTTGCTCACACAAGCTCTTGGCTCAATCCTTATCCATTCGTCCTGAACTATACTGGCCAGGTATGCGATTGCTTCATAAAAAAGAGAACCATTTTGAAATATGAGTGTTTTTACTCTCTAGAAGATAATTTACATAATTCTTGATACGCGGTTTTGCAGTTTTGATGATACGCGGTTTTGTACTTTAAACGACGATATGTGCATTTCTCAAGACTGTGAGCTACAAAAATGCAGAAGTGAAATATGTACATATATATATGTGCATACGCTAAAAATCATAAAGCAGCCAACTTGCAACGTGAAATGTATTCAGAATTTGGCATAGTAAAATAAAATATTTTACTATACAAAAGCATACAATTTAGCTTTACTTTCACCACACAGCACATTGCATAATAACAATTAAAAAAAAAAACCAAACCAAAAACATCGCTGATAAAACTTTTGTTTTTCTGCAAATAGGTGGTCTGCACGTCCTTGTCCGGACAAATTCCGCTTCATTTGTCAACATAAAATGCCGAAAGTCAGTGAGAAGAATCGTCACAAAGTCTACAATCGTTGGAATGCCACCTACCCACATGAATTCGCGAATGAAGTTATATTGGAGGTGATGGATCAACCCGGCAAAAACGGACCCAGGTATGTTGTGAATAATAAAAATAAGTCAATAATCAAAGTAACACTTTTAGCGCAAAATTTATTTTATTTTATTTTATTTTTATTTTTTCAAATATTGAAAAGCTAGTAATTGCGATTTCCTGTTCCACATATGTATTTGCCATTATGGGTTAGCATGTCGCGAAATATACATATGTACATACATATATACTTAAGTATTAAATAACCTCATGAAGGAAATGTGAGTAACACGGTTCGGCAAAGTACATACCCCGAAACCCTCATAAATGGTTGTTATGCAAAAGAACGCTTGAATCCGAATATACATATGTACATATGTACATAATTTTTTGAATTATGCCGTTTACATTATGCCAGTAGCATGTCATTCCAGTGAGTCAGACCAGCGGTGAACTGGAATGACAACTGTTTACATAATTCCAGTTATTCAAAAGCCAGTGAAATTAAAAATGCAGTGGCCATGTACTGAAGACGAGGTTGATAACGAATTAAAATATGAGACTATGACAGTTATACTGGCATGCCAGTATTGGAATGAGTTTCCAAGCTTAACCTATTTTCATACATAACTTTCGTCTGTTTGAAGATCATGAATTCTGTTTGAAATTATTATTAAAATTGTATTTTTTATTGAGAAATTTTGAAAATTTCCACATAAAATAATAAGTGTAAAAAATTACAAATAAATATGGATATTTCATATACATATGTACATATGTATAACAAGAAGTCATATTCGGATTCAGTAGGATATTTTATATAAGAACCAGCAGGAATGGTGCAGACCAACTGTACCCAGCGCTGGCAGAACGCCATAAGAAAGTGCAAAAGTTTTGCCAGCGCCGGGCATGGCTGATGCATATATTTATTTGATTGTTGAATATTATAAATTGTGGAGTCTCCTAAAAAATCGAAGAAACTGAGTCCAGACTTTGCATAAAAATCAGTAGTAGTTAGCGTCAGTTTGGATTTTCTTGTCGATCTATGAAATTAATCATTATCCAACGCTTTCACATCGCTGCAAGCAGATTTAGAGTTTTCTTCTAATACGCCGCATTGAATATCTTCATTGTCACATAGCATATCGCCTTCTTCCTTTGCATCGTCCGGCTTTAATGTATTTTCTTTGCGTTCATTTTCCTCTTGTGTTAGATATTGATCCCAATTGTTAAGTCGTTTCTTTACCTCGGCCTCAGATTCAATAATTCTGAAAACGACAAAAATTTAAAAATAGGATATAAATTTTAATATATCAAAGCTGTCGTTACACACTTGTATTTCATCTTTCCATCCCAATGCTCTGCAGTCAACTTCCGTTGGCCAAAGAACCGTCCGTGCATCATTTGTATAACCACATCGGCTTCTTCAGGATCAGCCATATTAACTTGTGCGACACCTTCAGAATGGCGCTGAAAATTAGTAAACGAGAAATTAAATATACATACATATGTACATGTATTCAGAAAAAAGAAAGCCGGATATGGCAAACTCACATCATAAATGACAATTTTGCGAACTGTAC